TGGGTGAGCCGCCAGCAGTACAGCCCGATCTAGCCCAGCAGATTTTGTATGTATGTCACAAAGACGGGTTTTGGTTTTTGTTTTTTACATTTATGCCTGTCTTTCTCCGTTAAACATGAAAAATTTTGCTGTTGAATTTTCACCTTTTTATTTGGAATTTCAATTCTATCCTACGACTTTGTTTCTCAAAGTAGTGGGTTTATGGGCCAGCAGCACCAGCATCACCCGGGAGCCTGTGGGAAATGCAGAATCTCAGGTCCCACCCCAGATGTCCTGAATCAAAATCTGCCTTTTAACAAGATCCTAGGTGATTCCTGTGCACATTCAAGTTTGAGAAGCCGTGCTCCACATGTCTACATTTCTCTTTGCCTTCAGCGAGGGGTTCTTCACCCAGTACTTACTTCGAGGCTAGAATTTTTGGTAGACTTTCAGGTATCTAACAAAGAAAAAGAAAAGAAAAAAAGACCATGAAACACACAGAGAGAAATTCTTTCCTTTGCATTTTCATGATGTCATTCATTTTACCTGGCCCGCCACAAGAAAGAAAAAGGCAAATTACATTCAAGTTATACACATTTTTAAGACTAACGTCTTAATTGCATCACTTAAAGCAGTACGCTGGATCCACCATCATTAACAGAGTCCCAAGTGTTGCCAAGATTAATTGAGAAATGCCTAAAGGCAAAATAAGCACTGTAGCATAGTTTAATTCAAAACCATATCAGCTAAGAATGAAGGTGCAATTAGTGATAAAGATGTTAATAATTAGTTGTGGTCTATTAGATTTTATATTCAGTGGTTATGAATAGCGAAGAAAGAATTTCCTCATGAGGGCAGAAATTAATGTTTCACCTTGATTGCTATTTTCATGTACTTATTTTAATGGGGCCATCTTATAGAAACCCTTGGGCACGTTTCCAATTTTATGTAAAAGTAGAATTAATTATCATGGAAGCATATAATTTTAGAGCTGGAGCGACCTTCGCAGTCATTTAATCCAGTTCAGTCATTTTGCAAATAAGTAAGTGATGTGACTGACTTAAGTCCTTCCACAGAACATTGGAACCTGTGCTTCACAAGTCTCAGACCAGTGACCTTCCCAAATCACTGCAGGCAAAAGTACTTTCTCTTGCCTCAGAATTCCCAAGGCACCAATTTTGTAATGTCTCCAAAGCCTTTACCACACCCTTCGTTATGATCTTGTTGCTTCAGCTTTCAGTTGTAAGATTAAGATCTCAAGGACCACGTCTGATTCATTTTGTATTTCTTTACCGTTCCTATATTTTGCAAACAATGGCTGGGTTTTCCCTCCTCGCTAGAGCTGATTGTGTCTCCACAAGGGCAGCTAGAAATTGGCCATGGTGGGGTATTTACGCTGGGAATGAGAAAACGCTGCAAGCCAGAGCTTTCACCTCACTAGAGAGCCGGTTGTTACACTCTTCCCAACACGCCACTGTTTACGTGCTTTGCACGAGGTCTCACAATGTCACAGGCTGCCACAAGATCTAAAGATCTGTACCAATGTAAAGATGAGCATTTACCCGTTGTTCCGCATGAGTCTCCTCAAGAGTGATGGAGCAGCCAGTTGCTCACCCCACTTTCATTCCTTCAGGGATTAGGTTTGACCCAGTGCAAGTCAGGCCTAGGACTGCCTTAGAATTTGGTTCCTTAGCTAATAAGTTCTCTTTACCTAGAAAAGCTATTTGGGCATGAATGGTAATGGAAACAAGAGTCTGAAATGTCAGGCACAGTCAGTGAGGAAAAAACCCACAAACTATGATGAGAAAAAAAATGGACAGGAAGTTACTATGGCTGAAATTACAATTATATCTTTATACTTCTCAAGAAACCTTCGGTGGCTCCCTACAACCTACATAACTACCCAAGCTCCCTGACATAAGTCAATAGTGACCACGGCTCACCATCCTAACCTCATTTTCAGCCATTCACATTACCCACAGTTGATTCCCACTTTCATCCTACTTTCCAGGCTGTAGAGTCTTGTTCCAGCCTCTATGATGTTCGCTTTTCCTGGAATGCCCTCCCTCTCCCTCCCTGTTCCACCGCAGGCTCTCTCCCAAGCTTTTGTTTCTATGAAGTCCTCTCTACCATGGACCAGAGCTTCTGGGTGAACATGAAAATTCCATGACTGTTCATCTCCTTTCTTGTATATCTCTCTGCAGGAGCAGGACCCGAGGTCCCATCGGCCCTGGCAAGTATGGCTATGGGAAGGCCCCGTACATCTTACCACTGCAGACGGACTCTGCACACTCACCGCAGAGGCTTCGGAGGCAGAGGCCCTCATCCCGGCATTCCAGGTCCCAGGGGGCATCAGGTCCTAGCCATGGCTATAGCACGCCAGCCCGCCGGGCCTCGCAACATGGACCTCTGTACCAGAGTGACAGCGGCCCTCGTTCTGGACTGCAGGCCTCAGAGGCCTCTATCTACCAGCTGCCTCTGACCCACACCCAAGGCTTCCCTGCAGCTTCAAGTCTCTTCCACAGCCCAGAAACAAGCAGCAACCATGGCATGGGGGCCCACAGGGTGGCTCCGAGCTTCTCCCAGCCTGCCCGGTCTGCAGCCATCTCCTGCACTGGGGCCTATCGCCAATACAAGATGTGCAACACCAACGTGAGTACACTCCTCTTCAACTGGGCCTGGAACTGCTGCCACTCTTCTCTTTCTGTCAGTTGGCAGTAAACGTGTGGAAGACAACGAGAGTGTGGTTTTTTAGGCCGTGTTAATGACCTTTTTTTAAATCTTCCTTCCCTCTCGTTTCTCTCCATTTATTCCTCCATATGCTTTTTTAAAATAAGGTTATTACTTTAGTAACTTATGAATAACCTATTGAATCACTTATTGATTATCTATTGCTTATATCAAACAACAATATAACAATTGCTGCGTATCAAACAACTTCCATATTCTCAGTGGATTTACATCAACAATATTCTTTGCTCATGGGTCTGTAGGTCACGTGCAGTTTAGGTAATTTAGGTCATCCAGTTGTGGCCAGATAAGTAGGAGTTTGGGGTGGTTTGACTAGCATAGGTATCATCCACTAAGTTTCCTAGAGGGTCCCTGCCCTTCCAGAAATAAACACTTTAGATACTGGTCATCGTGAAAAGTCTGGTAGTAAGTCACTTGCTGAAGAGTCCACAGCTAATGAGTAGCAAAGGAAATTGTAAATGGAAACTACATAAGATGACCAAATATGTTTTTTTTTAAATATCGGCTTAAAGACTCTATGTAAAAGAGAAAAGACTAGAGAATGTTTAAAGGTTAAATTTCCAAGTTGCTATATTTTTCATTAATAATTTAATATGCCTTAATTCTCTGTTACTGGGTACCAGGACAGCTGTTATATATTAGCTTCAATTTTCTCATTAAAATTATATTTCCTGCCGTAGAGTCCATAGAAATGACTTAATTTGTGATTTTAATAATTTCTCTGAATGCCTGGATTGCTGTTTAGCTTGTTCTTCCTCTGACAGACTTCAGGAATTATTAATTTTTGTATAGCACTAATATTTCTACAGCCATTACTAATCAGTCAACAAGTAAGTCTTAATTGAGCATCGTCGCTTATCTTCTAATAGGCCAGGCACCATGGAAGATTAAAGAAAAGTCATATTATCTACCTCACAGAGTTGTCATGAGGATCATAAATCAAAAAGAAATACTTGTGTAGAGATCAGTCTTGGTCTCTGTTCTTGAATATCCATTGCAGTCCTTTGAAAATGAAAGGAATTAATTTCTAATGGAGAACACATTCTCCCAATGATGAGTATATTTCTTAATTTTGAAAACCAAGTCAATCATAAAGAGAAGGAAAAGCGGGAGGACATTTGGCATATATGTGGACTTGATACCTATTAAGCATTTCTTTCATTTAACTTATACTTTTTTAAGCCGTGCACCTTTTGTCAGACTTGCGCTGCCAATAGCAGGGCTACCTGAGCTGCAATACCGTGGAGCTAAGTTTCGTGACTCCCTGGGCCATCTGTGAAGTGAGGACAGTATTACCTACTCCGTACGGTCGATGCAAGGTTCAGATAGGCCATGTATCTAAGGAGCTTGGTATGGCGTGGACACGTTGTTAGTAGATATACCGTTTGGACCTGGATAAGTGAACGTGGCTTACATGCCTCTCTAGATAGCAGTGGAGGAAGCTTTCCCCATATCTGAACAGCTTTCAGTTTCTAAATACTAAATCACAAAATTGTGCATGAAATGCTCAGACTTGCTCAGAGTCTCCTTTGTCCTCTGGGTTAGCTGTAATCTAGTGTCGCTTTGCCCAACAGAAAACAAACAAACGAACAAGACTGCTGAGAGACCCAACGTTTCACCTGTGATGTAGTTTCAATATAATCATCCTTGGGTCATGATTAAAGTGAGAAAAGTGAAACTATAGATGACTTCATGGCAGTGAATTCTGTATACCCTCAAACGTGCATATTTAACATTATGCCTGCCTTATGATGTCATGTGGGAATTTTAAACATTCTGGGGTGTCTTTAGGATTGTTTGATTCACATAAGATGTCCTTTTTGAAATTCTGCAAAATCGATGATAAATGCAGCACTGACGGTATCTGAATGTAGTCTTTAAAGATAAGAAAGGTTTTCATTTTCTTGCCTACAATGCTTATGAGGAAGTAAAGGTGACACACTCCAGCAGAAATAGAGAATTTGTGGTCTTTCAGCACAAGTATCAGTCTCGGACGTCTGCTAGTGCAGCACTTGCTCCAAGTCACTCACTGTTGCAGGTACCTGCTTGCAGTCCATAAGCACAGCATTGACATCGACTGAGTGGGATCAGGCGTTAGGCTCTGGGTCAGGCACACTGAGATTTTTGAGTAAGTTCTGTCCCTGAGGGGCTCTAAGTCTTGTAAGAGAGAGTCTAGGCACCGCCGATGCTGCGCAGGTACCCTGAAATCTCCAGACAGCGGAAATTCACCTGGCCTGGGTAGAGTCAACGAAGGCCTTCCTGGAGAATTTCCGGGTCTCCATGTGAGGGGAGAGTTTTCCAGAAAGAGGGAGTGATAGGGATCCTGGAGTTCCTGTACAGTCCCATGAAGCTGAGGAACAAGAAGGGGCCGCTCAGGGAACCTCTCAGTGGCATCAGATGTTTTTCAGTGAGCGGTGGCTTCCCTTGCAAGTATGTGTTCAGTAGTGAAGGGGTCACAGAGGGACGAATCTGAGGTTTATCCACAGCCCTGCGCTTTGTCAGTTGTGGCAAAAACAATAACAAGTACTCATGGAATCCAATAAATAGTTAAGTCTCTTCTTCATAAAAGCTCTTAGAAGGCCAAGACCTGAGAACAAAAGAACTAGAGTCTTTATAGGGGTGAAACAGGGGAAGGAGAAAACCAACTGCAATTCCTTTGGTGCCTGTGGGGATACAATTAAAGTAAAATGCTTTTCTATGAGCTGTTTCTGGGATTTTGTATTATTATTTGCTAAATATATTAACAGACCAGGACACTTTGTGCTAGAGGCCTAGGTGTCTCTCTCTCCCCACCTTCCTGAAGCACTCTGAATTCAGTGCTTTTTTTCCTGGAGAAGAGACTGACACTCTGGCTCTTTCAGAAGAAAGGAGGCTGAGGTTGCAAGGCTGGGACAAGGTTGTTAAGTTTTTAAGGGGCTTCGTTGCCAAAGGAGGCGTGATCCTGAGTTTAGACAGAGTGCACTTAACGTTATGAGGGGAAAAACTCCTGGAGCTAAAAGCAGCTTTTAGCAAATAAGGATGTGATGAGTTCTGGTATCAGGGACTTTACAGTAAATTTCCCTGGAGTGAGACTGCCTTCTGATAGTGGATTTATCCATGTGGAGTTGTTTCTGCCTGAGAGTAAGTGAAAATAAAGGGAAGATGTTGGACAAATCTCAAAATGTAGTTAAGCATGATCTGTTCAGGCAGATTCTAATTCTTCCCCATTTCTAGTCTGATAGTGAATGAAAGAGTTGCTGACAACTTCCTGACTACAGTTTTAAGGAGACACTTAGCAAGTGGGCCAGGTAAGAATTCAGTGCAATTCTGTAAGGTGTAAAACTTGCCAGAAACTATGGGGCCAGTCACTGGATGATCAGAATATCTAACTAGGAGGCTCACCATAACTTGCTCTTATCATGAGCTTTTCACCAACCTTCTTACCTGGAAAATATGTGCTAGTGTCCATGCCTTTTGCATCATTCTGCTTTCCATCTTCTCAGACCACTTGGAATTTCTTATAGAAGGTTTTCTTATTGACTTTTTCATATTCTATCAGTGGCCTTTTGTATACACATATGTGAGCTACATGTGGATATGTAAATATTACATATATTGAATATATAAATATTAAATATAAATATTCACATATACTTCATATGTATGAAGTATTTATATATGAATCACACACATACACATAACTATGTATGAATTGCTCACGGTTGTCACTTTCCCTGATTATAAAAAGTAGTACAAATAGTAAGAAATATCACAGTGGTAGAGAGAGGTATATCCTAGTCCCTCTCCCAAGATGTAATCACAGTCATTTTTAATGTTTAGTTTTTTATAGTCATTCTCTCCATAACTCTAAATAGCATGCTAATTAACACCTCTGTTTCTTGATATATCAACTTCAGATTTTCTCTGTCAGCTCTTCACTATGAAAGGTAAGGATATGATCCCCTTTCCTCCCACTCTGCTGATCTCTGCTAGCCACGTTTGAATTTTCAGTTATATTTACTATATTAACAATTTTAATTTCCTTATTTTACCAACATTAGGAACGATCAGTTAACTCTCGGTTTTGTAAAGTTAGAAATTTAGTGCCCAAATAATTCATTAAATTCTTCTTGTTGCATTACTTATTTCGGTTTATGTAGTTTTCTCATCCTGACCTGTGAAATCCTTGCAAGAGACTATTATGAAGGATTCTTCTCTGAATCCTCAATTGTCACATGACACATAGCAGGAGCACGATGACTGTTTGCCTTTGAAGGAATTTCACATCCTGCCCCAGCAGATAGCAGAGGGAAGGAAACCAGACTTATTTATGTGATCTCAAAAGTAGGCACTAGTAAGTAGGAGTTTTGAATGTTTTAACAAGTTTACATTTTGCCATATACTTCCTGATTAGTTGGAGGGAAAAAAAAAAAGGTGTTCTCTTTTAGACCTGCTTACAGGTATAGAGATATATTAATAATCTCAAAAGGGAGACATAAATAAGCACTCCTGGGATAGACTTAGATTTGTATAGATGTGTGTCTAGAGTTATTAAAAATATAGAGTCCTCCTGGGTGATTCGGTGGTCTTGGTCCTATCAACATCCTTTGGGTCTTTGATGTATGTATTGAATGAAAAGGAAACACCTTTCTCTAAAATAACGTTATGAACTTGGATGGGGAAAAAAGTGTTTAAAAACTAAGAAAATCTTAGTTTTTTGTTTATTTTTTTTAAACCCAAAGCCTTGACCCAACTTTTTTGGACAAACCAATTCACTGACTATCTAGTCAAGTGCTGGAAATGGTGGGAGGTAGCAAAAGAGTTTTGCAAGGTTCAGTTTGTTCCAAGTAACTTGAAAAAGCAGATATTAAGCATATTTGAAAAATGTGCTGGATTACTTGTAAGAAAATTTGGTCCATGGTTATACAAAGCCTGTGTTCCAGCTGTAGAAGAGAAAGAAGGGGAATGTTTGCTCCAAACACCTTTCTTTCAGGCACTTACAGCTTTTGGAACTGCTAGGTCATCTTTGATGTCTACTTAGATTCCAATTCAGCTAACATTAATTGAGCATTGCTATAAGCTAGAAACTTTAATGTGTTACTAATTTAATCCTCACAAAAATATCTGGGAGGTGGGGGTGGTACAGTAATTTAGATTTAGAGAACCAAAGTGCTTTGCCCAAGGTCACATAACCACTTACTTTCTCATGGCAGTGCAAGGACATTTTCTAGACTTTTTTTTTTTTAGGTTTCTGCACTGTGATGTTAAATACATCATATGTTGCTATGGTAGCTGGTCTTTTGACTGAATCCAGAGCAATGCAAAGGATTAAAAAATGTATATCTGACCCAGGCACAAGGTCATGTTTCCTGGTGCCACCTTCATTGGGAATTATGCTATTTATTAATTAGTTACCAAAAGGTAAGTGTGTGATCACCAACAATGGCCTCTTGAGCAGTGAAATTAGGTACAGGCCGTTGTCATCTCCGATTAACCAAGGTCACTAGAAACGTATCCAAGTTTCCACAACACACTTTGTGATTCATAGCAACCCCAGGAAATTGTCTAGATGGAACTTTGGATAGGGCCTGAAATGCTTTATAAGGATTCAACTCATTTTGTTGAAGTGCATCTTTATTCCTCTTTCCATAAGAGACCAGTGGAAATATCGCTCTCTCATTCGGTCTAAAGGGAGTCGTTTGAAAGGAGGTTATCTCTCATAGGGCATTACTTGGCTATCCAGCTCCGGACTTTGCTGGTCCCATCCTGAGTGAGCCTGATCTCTATCTACATGGCTTTTCCCTTGTGTCAGTTTTCTGGCCTAAAAATTACAAGAATCTGTGTCCATAGAAAGGATCAGCTGTCTGCAAGAAATCTGCCAAAAGCTAACTCACAGTGTAATATAGAGACAGTCACTGATAAGGTGAGAATGACTCAGTCTATGGTATCAGGAAACAACCCACTTAAAATTCAACAAATGTAAAATGACCTGTAACCTGGAAGTATAACTTCATAGAACCTTTAAAATGAAAGGAGATCGGTGTCCATAGAAAGGATCAGCTGTCTGCAAGAAATCTGCCAAAAGCTAACTCACAGTGTAATATAGAGACAGTCACTGATAAGGTGAGAATGACTCAGTCTATGGTATCAGGAAACAACCCACTTAAAATTCAACAAATGTAAAATGACCTGTAACCTGGAAGTATAACTTCATAGAACCTTTAAAATGGAAGATCATATGCTGATAATAGTATAACAAGTACAAAAGAGACGTGAAACAGAATTTTCTCAGCCTAGCTTGCTTTTCATCTTTAGCCTACAATTCCCTGCTCCTGACAGCTGGGGCCACTTTGCCAGGCCTCAGAGGCTGAATCTGACCTTAGCCTCTAGGACCTCTCTTGACAACAAATAAGAAGGAATTAAGGCCCTCTTGTCCGACAACCTGTTGCAAATTTACTTCGCTGTCCACGCAGTCTCAACGAGTCTAATGGCATAGTGGCTACTGGCATGGGTTCTAAACTCAAAGTGTCTGGGTTCAGATCCTGACTTCACCACTTACAAGCCCCATGATCTTGGGCAGCTCATTTAACTTTTTGTAGTCTTGACTTCCTTATCTGTAAGATGGACATAACAGTTGTCGTGAGAATTAAATGGGTACTGTACATAAGAGTTTCTGGCATTTAGTAAGTGCTCAATAAAAGTTACCTATTAATATCATCACCATCATCATCACCCCAGGCTTCTGCCTCACCTGTACCATAATTCTGGGCCCTGTGAGCCTTGCATTTTCCTGGCCAAGTCCCTCTCCTTCGCAGGAAGTAATGTCCTGCATCTAACTGGCAGCTTGCCTGGCATCATGTAGGTCCCTGTTCAGGGTCACACACAAGGGCGGCATGCCCATCTGCCAGTGCACCTTGTTACCTTCTGCCACACCTTCCTATGCTACCTACCAGTGGAAACATCCCTCTGGGCTCAACTGCCTCCTGTCAACTGTACGTGGATTTGCTGCTTTAGCATCTGACACTCTACTGTGGGTCTGATGCCACCTTAAGTTCTCCTACCTCAGAAAGTGACTAGGCCATGCTCAGATATAAAGAACTTGTTGATGACCAGGGACATGGTATCCTGAATGACCCATCACAAGTGACTGGTTGGCTTGCAGTTGAATATGGATGTAACAAGAACACCAGCCATTAACAGGACTTAAAACACACCATAAGATGATAAACTAGAAGCACATGCAAAAGTGGCTAAGGGCCAAATGTGTTTGGAAGAGCTCAACTCCGATAAATTTTTATTACATAAATATTACATATTTATTGCAGAAATATTAGACAATACAAATAAACCAAAAGTTGATTGTGAAGACAAAACATCTGTAACCTACCTTCTACAGATAACACTTTTAACCTCTCTTTCTCTTCCCCCACCCCCAACACCACGCATAATCATTTTAACACTTTTTTTCACTTAACGGATTGTGGACTGCTTTCCACATCATAAAATAGACATTTATATCATCAAGTACTGAGCAATTCAGAATGATTCTGAAAGTGCATGGTCTGGCTTTTTGGCACTATTTTGCTGATGGAGATGGGTCAAGCAGACTGGCTGAGTTTTCGTCGTCTGCAGCTTCCAATTCTGGTATCCACCTTATTGCAGAGCAGCTTGGCTTCACATAGGTGTGGTTATTTGAGAGCAGGACATTTAGCCCACTTGTTCTGGTCTGATTTCCTTATGAAAATCTGCCACCCAGCAGCTGATCTGTAGTTCCTGATTATGGCCAGAGTGGGTGACAGAGCTCTGGGCTCTGTCACTATGTCACTATGGGACTTTTCACAAAGTATGCCACTTCTCCAGGCTCGGTTTTCTCATCTGTAAATTAAAGGACTTGGATTTGATTCTCATTGCTCTGCCATTCTGTGATTGTGCGTAAAGGAATTTGGAGTGAGATTGAGGCTTGGGTGTGGCTCTTAACTGTTGCTGCACAGTCTGGTGCCAGGCCGGCTGCGCCAGAATCACCTGAGGGAACAATTCCAGCATGTATTTCTAGGCTGTCTTTCCTACTGGGATGAGGCCCGAGAATCTGTATTTTTAACAAACTCCGTAGTGATTTTTTCTGGTTGCAAGGACAGTGCCTTCTTCCAAGTTGCCCAGCCGATCACATCCTGGTTGAACACTGGTTCTGCCAAAAAGGATTGTAAAAAGCACATTAACCCTCGATCCTTCATGGAGACAGCTGGTGTTGCTGGAAGCCTACACCATCCCAGCTTTAGGGCCGCCAGCAGCTTGACTTCCTAAGCCCTTCCCTGGCCTGTCAGCTGCTCACTGATCGTCGGAGCTCAGCCCGCCCTGCCCCTTTTTCCCACCAGTTTCCGTCACGTTCTGCTTCACGTAGTTTCTTCCTCCATATGGTTTAGCTCAGGCAGCAGCAGGATTATGACCACCCCGAGTGTTGTACCCACAGCCTCCCCTGACTGTCCTTTATTTAGCAGGAGATACTTTTCTTCCACCTGGTTTCATTCTTCCCTCTGTTCCCTCATCTTCCAGGAGGCCTGGTGTTTCTGATACATACAGTAGATTTCTTTATAAATCCTTCAGGACTTTGAGCTGTCTTATTAGCGGTTCATTCCAGAGACTTCTTACATACAGAGCTTTTAATAATTAAGGGACCAGATTCCTTTCCTTTCTGATTTTTAAAACACGCACTCATACACATATCCCACACTTAAACAGAGTGTAGCTGGGTCTAGCAATGCTCAATCACACTTTATCCACAATTTAAAATAGAGATTTTGATCTTATTATTTTTTTTCACATTTATTTATTTTATATCACACTTTGCTCATATTTACCATTTATAAATAAGAAATAAGCCAGAGGATGCTGGATATTTTCTTTGACTAATCTAGAATATCAGAATCACCTGGATAATTTGATAAAATACAGATTTCTGGACCTCATCCCAGACTTCCTGAATAATAATACTTGGGAGAGAGATCCAGGAATTTGCGTTTCCCTGGAGATCTCTGGGTGACTTTTTCTCATTCTAAAGGCTAGGAGGTCCTGCATTAGATGGTGGAGAGAATTTAGACCAAAATTTAGACAAGATGGGGAGGATACTGAGCCGCAGCTTGGTGGGGACCAGACTGCTTGGAGTTAAACCCAGTCTCTGTCCCCACTGTCTACGTGGCTCCTCTGTGCCTCAATTTGCTCATCTGTGAAAAATCAGCAAACTCTCATATCTACCTCATTGATTGTTGTGAAGGTTAAATGAGTTAATCTGTGTAATATGTTTAAAGCAGTGCCTGTACATGGTCAGGGCTCTGTACGTGGTTCCCGTGAACATTATCTTGTGTACAGGAATGGCAGGAACAAAGTCAAACAGATGGAAACGGATGACCTCTTTGAGGGGAGACCAATTTGTCAGGAGCAGAAGGTTTAGGTTAGTGGTTTTCAGATTGCGGTGTGCAAAAACTTAACCTGGGGAGTTTGTTAAAAATTTAGTGTTCTTTTACAAAGATTCTGATTTAGTAAACTTGGAGTGAAGTCTTGGAATCTGTGTTTTAAATTTTTGATGTAGGTAATCAGCAAATTTTCAGAAATCCTGGTTTCAGTAGAAGAGGCCTAGTATTTAACGTTGGAGAGGTCTCCTGGGATTTGACTGGGGCTATGAAAAGATATGAGCACTAATTGCATATTTACTATCTGCTTTATTAGGTGTGTCCAGAAAGCAGTAGAAGTATCCGGGAGGTACAGTGTGCATCTTACAACAACAAGCCATTCATGGGCCGCTTTTATGAATGGGAACCATTTGCAGAAGGTAAGAACAGACCCAGCCCTGTCTGCAGGAATTATTTTTGTCTGTTCTCCAACCCTGTTGCCTTCTGGCTGATGCTGGAGGAATTGGTGTGATCCTGGCCAGAGTGATGGTAGGGGAGAAAGTGTGACCCCAAGGCAGCCTGCAGGGGTCTTTACCAAAGGTAATCAAGTTCGGGTGACACAGGGACCATTAGTCAGATGGATGAGGCACTGATAGAACAAGCAGAGTCTGAGTATGGCAGGGAGAGTGGGACAGAACAGGATTCGAGGAATGGGTTGGAACAAGAGGTTCAGGCTAAGGTTGTGAGAAGTGAGTGGGATAGAGTTCTCCTTCTTCTTGGTTTCTGCTACAGGAGCTGGTGTAGTGGCTTGAGAGAACATGCAGGGTTGGTTGACAGTTGTTTGGCTTTCATGGGGCAGGAGGAGAGGGGCTTGCATTCTGTTTCCAAAGGTGATATGTGGTAGGCAGGCATTGTCCTTGGGACCAAGGTTCCTGCCATTTCAAAACGACGGAAGATCTGATTTTAGTAGAGCTTATCAGTACTGCTCTGGATCCTGGTTTTACTTTTTGTGGTGTTGTTGTCGAAACCAAGATGATAACATAGATTTTGAACCAAGAAATGTTAAATTCTGAGCTGTTGCTTTCCATCACAGAGAAAGCAGGCTCCAAAGTGGTGATGGGTCAAGCGAAACTTGTAGGGTTCAATACTGATAGCCAAGTTGGCCAGAGGGGTAGAGTCCAGCCATCCTCACTATCCAGCTGAAGACTCTGCCCAGTCTCAGTCCAAGGCAGTGGCTGAGGCAGCTGGTGTTGGCCAAAACCCAGAGTGCAGAGAGCTGCTGCTACGTGCAGGACCTGCAGAAATTGTCTTAGGAGAGAGCTGGACAGTGAGTTGTGCTGATTTAATCATAGCATCGATGTCCAAGGCAGCCAGACTATGGAAGGCTGTGCCTAGGTGAAAACCCTTGGGGAGGAGGAGGGGGATTGATATCTGCTCTGAAATTGGATGCAAAGTTGTTTTTGTCTGTGCATTTTTTTCAGAAGAGAGTCTTTAGCTTCTATCGGATTCTCAGAGTGGTCCCATGACCTTAAAATTGTTAAGAACTAACTTGACTGAAAAATTGAGGCTATTAGATCCAAACAGGAAAGACGAACAGATGAAACACAGAGAAGTAATTAGATGAAGATATGAGGTTGGGTAAGAGGCTGAAGGGTGAATAGGGAAGGAAGCCTGAGTGAATTTTCGATGCTGTGGATCAGAGCTTGGTTCAGACCCTTTTTATTTTTAAAAGCATTATGTTAAATGCAAAGTGATATCTTGACTTGGATCCTAGAACAGAAATAGGGTATTAGTAGAATATCTGGTGAAATATGTATAAAGTGTATAGTTAATAGTATTATACAGGTGTTCATTTCTTTTTGTAAATGTACTGTGGTTTTATAAGATGTTACCATTAGAGGAGGCTGAGTAAAAGGTGTACGGGAACTCTCTGTGTTATCTGTGCAACACTTCTCTAAATCTAAAATGATTTCAAAATAAAAACTCTTTAAAAAGACATCGTGCACCCAGTTTGCTAGGTCTTACATGCTCTCTGGTGAACATAAAGTCCAAGGCTTATCATTTGGGTGAGGAAGCATATCCTTCCTGGAACCTCAGTGTGCGACCTAATTTAGAAACGGGGCCATTGTGGATGTAGATGGCTGAGGTCCTACTAGAGCAGGATGAGCTCTTAATCGAGTGTGAAAGGTGGTCTTTTAAGAAGAGGAGAAAGGACACAGACTTACAGAGAGAATGCCAAGGGATATTGAAGGCAGAGATCGGAGCAATGTGTCCACAAGCCAAGTAACGCCAAGGACTGCCAGCGACCGCAAGAGGTCAGAAGAGGTAGGAAAGGATACTTGCCTAGAGCCTTCCAGGAGAGGGCAACAGTCCTGGAGGCTGTAAGTCCAAAAGCAAGGTGTGCTTTTGGACTTACAGCCTCCAGGACTGTGAGTGTAAGGTTTTGTTGTGTTAAGCCACCAAGTTTGTGGTATTTTGCCATGGCCACCCGATGAAACTATTGCAAAGAGGAAGGAACCAGATTCTGGACCGGTTGATATCTACCCACATGAGTAGATCAGGAAGTGAGCTTGGTCTGACCAATAGCAGGAGATGCCTGGAGAAGTGAGGTGCATATCCAAAGTGGGTGACCACCTCACAAATGTAGGTCTATCTGAGATGGTGGTCCTCAGCCCTAGCTGCTCACTGGGATCACTAAAGAGCCTTCTAGAAATACAGATGCCTGGGCCCCAATCCCAGAGATTGTGATTTTATTGGTCTAGGGGGCAGCCTGGACATCAGGATTTTTTTAAAGATCCCAGGTGATTCTAATGGGCAGCTGAGGCTGAGAACCTCTGATTCAGGAGCAAGGGAGGGTCGCAGAAGAGGCGGTGATCTAGCCTAAGTTAAGATACAAAATCGTGGGTATATCATAAACCGTGAAATGTATTCTTGTGTCAGAATAGCAGTGCTTGTCAGTGAACATTTAGAAACGACGTAACCCTGTCTTTGAACCGCACCCTTGCTTTATTGCTAGCTGGGGAATATAGCTGCTTTCCTGTGATTAACTGGGAGGAAAGGAGAGTTTCTCCAGGGCACACTGTGCTTTCCACAGTTACTCCTGGAACTGAAGCCTCATCGCCAGACCTTCTCTGCATGGTTTTGGGTGATCATCTGCCAGGCATCTTTATGCAAGACCTCCTGACCCGTCAGGCCCTCACAGACTTGTATCAGAGAGCCCTCGTCCTAATGTTCTCACGTGTTACAGATACTCTCCGTGGATGCCTGCTGTTGTCTGCTTTGTGTGTGACTCTACCTTGCCTGTTCCTTTGTTTGCCCTGATTTGCATTTGACTTTAAATGGGAGGTCTGAGGCACTCTTTTTTTAACACTTCATTTGGAAAATCTCAACCATATGTAAAGGTACAGAGAATAATATAATAGTATAATAAATATAATAGTATAATAGTATAATTTATACCATCACTTAATGATAGTATAATAGTATAATAGTATAATTTATACCATCACTTAATTTCAACAGTTATCAACTCACGGCCAGTCTTTTTCATATGTACCTTACTCTATCTTCCTTACTCAGATTATGAGAAACTATTTGAATTCACATTACATAGTATTATTCATCAGTAGATATATTAATTAGATCTCTTGGTTGTAAGTGACAGAAACTCAACCTAAATATATTTTTTAATGTGTTTCTTATTTAAAGAAAGATATTTTGTTGGTCTTGTTATTGGAAAATCCAAGAGATTGACTGGGCTTCAGATAGAAATACATTCCAGGAATTGAGTACCAGGCCTTATTGGTCTTTCTCCATCTCTGTTCTGTTTACTTACTGCTCAGGTGAGTGTTACGTGGCTGTGAGCTTGCGGTCAGTGGGAGAAGCCCTCTCTCATTTAGTATTGTGAGTTCAATTGTGTTCCCCCAGAAGATGTGTCAAAGTCCTACTCCTGGTGCCTGTGACTGTGACCTTATTTGTAAATAGGGTCATTGTAGATGTAATTAAGATGTAAGTTAAGAGAGGTCATACCGAGTAGCCTGGGCCCTTAATCCAATATGACAGGTGCCCTTATAAAAAGAGGAGAAACAGCACAGAGACATACACAGAAAGGAGAACACCGTATGAACACACAGGCACAGAGGGAGAGGGAAGACGGCCTTGTGATGAACAAGGCAGAGTGAGAGTGATGTAGCTACAAACTAAGGGACACCGAGAATCACTGGCAATCATCAGAAACCATGAGGAGTTGTGGAAGGATTCTTCCTCAGAGACTTCAAAGGAAATGTGCCTCTGCCAACACCTCGATTTAGGATTTCCAGCCTCCAGACTGTGAGAGAATAAACTGTTGGTTTAAACCTCTCAGTTTATGGTAATATGTTCCGGCAACTTAGGAAACTAACATGCCCAGTGATGGTTTCAATCTCAGAAAAACCACACCGTGATCTTGTTTGGATCATAGTCCCATCCCTGAGCCTAAGTTCGGACATGGGAGTACTTGGACTAGCTCAGGTCATATGACAGCCCTGTGGTGGGGGACCCAAGTCACATGAAGCAGAGGTGGGGGAGTGGGGATTGAGATGGACAGAAAAACAGAATCTTATACAAAAATCATTATATACTTCTTGACCATAAACCACCAACATTTTGAATGAGCCAATTAGAATCCTGGTGTTTTACAAAGTAAAGAAAAATTCAGAGTAGCAGCAGATAGAGAAATCATCTGTCTTCTACACCATGTTACTTTACCTAGAAAATTCAGCATTCTTTTAAAATATTTACTGACATTTAATATGTTTCACATGCCTAAGAGAGTAGGAGCCCATAGTCACTGAAGTTGCATTGACTGTGACGATCTTAAAGAATTCTTTTTGCTGCTAAGATTGTTTTCTTGATTTTGTCCTTCCTCTTAAATGACTCCCAGGCTGACCAGTGGAAGGAAGACGCTGTTAATGTTTCTGCAGGGTGTTCATACTTTACGGCTGGATTTTGCTTTGGGCTCTTGGTTTTGCTTGGATGTCTCCCGCTATCCACATGTGCCTACTCAGGGAAACAGCTGTGCTCGTTCAGCCCAATGCCACATAGAATAGTGAAAGCAGAGCACACTCTGGTAAACACATTAATTTCACCACATGCTTCTTCTTAGGCCTTTAATCGCATTTCCTGGGTATGGCGATCTATCCTTAGATGAGACCTCTAGGAATTTTTCTTATACCAAGACCTCTATTGTAGAGATGATAGAAGCAGAATTCAGGCCCAAGTGTCCCTGTTTATCCAGGACAGTGAATACTTAAGCCTGTCCCCCCAGTCCCCTTTCACTCTCAAAACCACTTTGGACAAGAAATTATATGGTCGGCCTGGCTAGAATGGGACACTTTAATAAGAAGACTCTTGTTTAGATGCTGATATTGGGGAAAATTGTGCCTAGGGACTTGGGGTTGGG